CATACCTACAGTATATTCTCCAAGTCCTTCTAATCCACATAGCAGGGGCAAAGCGCCATTCTTCAAACAAATGTCATGCTTTTGATGGTGGAGAGCACGCTAACGTGTCTAACCCTGTGAACGCCATAGCATATGATTTGTGTCATATTTATATTCATCAGATTATTCAGTAACCAGTCTTGGGATGTGGCTGGAGTCATTCATATCAGAACATAAATGTTTCATGACAGGATAAAGATGATCACTCAGAACAATTTTTAATTGATGCTTTGTGATGAAATGGAGCAATTGAGAGTGGACCTAAGAGAACGCCCGCAGCAAAGAAGTACCCATACAGTTCAAGCATTCTGGCCTGTACTTCTCATGTAACTTGTCCACTTGTCCGTGCACTGTGACTCATTGGAACGTCTCTCTATCACTCTCTTTTGTTTATTTCTTTTTTCAATTTTTTTTTTTTTTTTTACAATTTTTTACAATTTTTTTTACAAATCCTACAACAGCATGTATTATTACTGCTGCACTGAAGGCTTACATATGCGTTCATGTTAAGGAGCATATGGCCTGTTAGAATGGCCTGTTAGCCCTTCTAAACTTTCTGTCAGTGCTTTTGTTTATGGGCTATTCATGCTCACTCAGATTTATCATGCTCTGCCTACACATATTCAGTCACCTAAGGAACAGTTATGCCTAATGCTAATGCACTGAGGGGCTAATGTGTACCTCAACTGTCAGTCCTGTTTACTTTTAAAAAGTAATTTCTTATTCATTCAAATTTAATTTCACAGTGCACATCTTGAAGCACTGACATTGTTTTGTTAATCGGAATATAATAATGCAATAGGTGAAATGTACATGCATGGAAGATGATGCACAAGTTCTTGTAAAAAATGATCATGTGATTCCTTAAAAATGTAAGTTAAACATTAAAAAAGAAAAACAGGAAGTAAAAGACTTTACTTCTTAGTAAAAACTTACTAATGACTAGATCAAACAAGAAAGCTGCTTAATGATTAAGATAATAAGATCAATAAACACTAAACATATGATAAATTCTGGTATTTGGAAGAGTACACAGGAGGAAAATGTTACTGTTAAATTAAAGTAAAGTAGTATATCCTTACCCTGGTCAGCATGTCCTCCATTATTTACCCTTTTATTTTATTGTCTTTCTTTAACAGTAATAAGATGTCAGCCCAGTCTGAAACGTTTACATTTCAGGATATTTTCACTCACCAAGCAAGAACTGTATTAAACCATAAAAACATATAGTATTTAATATATTTGCTTAATATTCTTAGTACAGTGGGACCCCGACTTACGAATACCCCATTTAATGAAAAATTCAAGTTATGAAGGCACTTAACGGCAATATTTCTGCCCCTGT